TTGCGTTGAGATAGTGTTGTTGGCACGCTTCCATTAACTGAAAGCTCTGAGGTGTGCAAATCATACACTGAGCTGGCTTACAGATAATTAAAAATGCTTGTTTTTTTCCCATGTAAATGACCACAGCCCTGGATTGAGGTTTAAATCATGTCGCTTCCTGGAGAATTCAGAACCTGGGCCTGGCCTGGGGAGAGAGTGGAGATAGGGAGGGTAGAGTCTAAATACCAGTTCTTAAAAAAAAAAAAAAAAAAAAAATTGCTGATTCTTTCTCAGTCAAAAAAATAAGACAATGGTTAAACCAGGAAAATGAGTTGGTGTTCTTCAACTCTTTCCTTTTTAAGTTATCTTCAGTTTTATAAAGTACATCTGTCAATTTCTTTTAAGTAAAGAAAGGCAAAATTAGCCTAGGAAATCCATGCTCTAGATCTCCTATTTTCAATAGATAGAATCATTGCAATGACAACCACTATTATTAAGCTATTATTATTTATTACATGTTTATTTCCTGCCTTAATCTGATCTTAACACATGATCAGCCGACGCTTCCTTGCAAGAGGGAAGCCTGCTCAGTGGGCGGTCTCTGCACAGTGTCTCCCAGCCTGGGCTGTGTCTGCCTTTGTTCTGTACAGCTGCGCGGCTCGACTAAGTGGGAATTCTCACGTGATCGCGGATGGCTCAGACTCCTTACTATCTCATTTCCTCTGCATGCCTTGTAGAGACGCACAGGGGACTATGGAAGTCAGCTCTGTGAGGCTACACAAGAGATGTCTGACCTAGAAGTCAACTTCGGGGTGAAGCTTTGACGGAAGTTTGCAAGGGGCTCTTCCTCATGTGGGCACAGAAAACGCATTCCCCAGTTTATGGCAGAGACTTGGGCTGCCCGTCAAGAATGCCTCGTTGGTTATCATTGGAAACAAAACAAAACAAAAAACAAAACTCTTGGTTATGTGATCACATGTCCACCTTTTGAGATAACAGCATATTATTAACCACTGGCTCCTTGGCAATCTGTGCAAAGACAATAAGACCTTTGTGCCCACAGTTTGTTCTTTCATAGCCCTCGCAGCTCATCATCTCATTTTGCCTGTTCAGCAACCCTGCATGGGAAGGCAGGCACTATTTCCCGTCCTCTCCAGCTGGGAACAGCTCACGCAGCTTTTAGAGGACTGGAAGTGGAACCTGTGTTTCCCAGCTCACTTTTCTTTCTTTTAGCCCATGTGCTTTTTTGATTGCTACCTATCCTGTTGAGGGGGAAAAAAAATGACCTTTTTCAGAGTGTCTCTGGGAGAAACTTTGTGTCTTAAAAATATGAATTTATTTTTCTCAGTGTCCATTGATTAGTTTTCTATGGTGCGCCTATTGCTCTGCTAAGCATAATGACAAATCAAAGTCTATGAGACAACTTCCCAATCCACAAATAGCTTGTTGTGGTAGGCAGATTCTAAGATGACCTCCAGTACCTCACACCCTTGTATAATCACCTCCCCTTAAGTGTGAGCAGGGCCTTAATTTGCATGTAACCAATAGAATTCGGCAAAGGTGATAGGATATCATGCCTATGATTTTATTATGTAATGTGGCAAAGGTGAAGGGATTGTGCAGATGTAATTAAGATCTCTAATCAGTTGTCTGTAAATTCTCAAAAGGGAGATTATCCTGGGTGGGTCTGACCTAATCAGATGAGCCCTTTAAGAGAAGGTCAAGAGGTCAGAGACTCCAAGGAGCAAATTCTCCTTTGCTGGCCTTGCAGAAGCAAACTGCCAGATCTATAGCTTCAAGGCAATAAATTCTGCCCCGTGAGCTGGGGAGAGGACTCTAAGCCTAGATGCGACCCCAGTTCCAGGTGACATGCTGATTGCTGTCTTGTGAGACCCGGTGCAAAGGACCCGACTGACTTGTGGAAGCTGCTAAGCTTGTGGATATTTGTTACACAGCCATAAAAAACAAATACACTTATGATCCAGGAAGGAGCTACTGCTAAACCTAATTTAGCAAGTATCGAAGATTTGTTAAAAAAAAAAAAATTAACTTCCTGGATATTACATAAATAAGATGTAAAGGTGACATGTAGCACTAATAATGTGGTGATAAAAACCAGCCTTTCATTTAGAAACAATAGTGACAGCTATGTTTTCACCCTCTTTCCTTGTCTCATACACACAGTTGCTCAACCAACAGCTAATAGAAAGGTCCTGTTCGTAACATTAGCAACCACATTTCAGAGCATCAGCTATCTATCCCAAGAAGACATTTTAAATTTCTCTCACAGCTAGAGCTGTCACCTTGGAGAGGGAGAGTTGGGTTCTAGGCAAAATCACAGGAGAAGCTTTCTCTGGACCATTAGGATTTCAAGAGGTGCCTCTGCCCACTCCAAGCATGTGACCTCTTTGGGGCTGTGACTAAAACCATGCCTGTGTTAGTCGGTACTCATCAAATATCAAACATACAAAAGCAGGGTCAGCTCTGGAAAGTAATCTTCCCTTTAAAAATGTCCGATGAAATGGTTTGTTTATTAAATACTTATGGGTGGATTTGACCCAAAAGCTTAAATTTTAGTGACCCTTTCTAATATTGATTTTATTAGTAAAAGTGTGGAATTTTCTTGTGGTCCAGATGGCTAGTGACTAGAACGAGGTGGAAGGAGTGACATTAAAGACCTGGCCACATGGAGGGGGTCTCAGGCCTGCTCTGAGAAGTCACAATACACTGGGAAGACACAGCCGGTGACATAATATCGCACATAACTGAGCTCCCAAGCAAGGGCAAAGGGGAGATGTGTTTCTGCGTGTACCCCTGTGGGGAGCCCATTTTGACATCAATTGCAAAGATAATATTAATGGAACCGGCTGGGGGTGAGGGAGAAGTCAGTAGTGCAAAAAGCCTCTGGCAGCGGCCTGTGGTAACTTCACAGGATGCCAAAAATAGTCCCCCACCACTCAAGACAAGCTGCGTGAACTTGGCCAGGTCACTTAGCCCACCCAAGTTTTGGTTCCCGCAGATGAAAAATAGGGACACTTAGAATACCGACCTCTTAGAGAAACTGTGATGGGGCTGCTGTGAAAGTGAAATAAGATAATCCACATTGGCGTGACAAGAGATGACGGGTGCGCAATAAATATTTATGATTATCATTCACAGAGGTAAACCTACAAGGGAAATAACAAGTGACTGGTTGATGTTACAGCGTCTGGGGAATGCTTTGGAACCTGACTCTGACTCCAGAAAATTCCATGCTCATCCCCTAACACCAGCGCCAACTGGTTTTAGCAGGGAGAGCACACAGACAACGGAGTGTTGGGCAGGCAAAGCCCCTACTTGTGCTGTGTGTCAGCTGTTTGCGAATCGTCACTGTCCTTGCCTCCGTTGGCAGCGGTGGTGGCCAGGCCTTCTGTCCCATTGTTCCCTTCTGTCCCTTGTCACCCCACCTCCATTCTCTCCCTCTGCAGTGTCCCAACAGTGCCCGTCTGTGTGCCTTTTTGGTCGTACTTCTGCTGCTTCTAAACTCATCCGAATTCACAAGATCCTGATCTGTGCTCTGCAGCCCAAGCACAGAAGTCACAGGGGGCCAGGCTGGTTTGCTGCTGGGTCACCATGTTTACCAAGGAGTCAAGAGCATGGTTTTCTTCAGGCTGAGAAAAGGAAAAGAGCTTCCAACTAATCTCAATTTAAAATCCCCAGACGATGGCCATCTTGAAGAAAACAACGACACCAGCGTGGGGGGTGCAGGCAGCCGTGTCTGCATGGAGCCTGGGATAGGCCCTGGCCCTCCCGCCAAGGGAAGACATCCTTTCTGGCTGGCTCCTCTGACTCTGTGTTTCCTACAATTCTACAACAAAGATCCAGAAACATGAGAAAAGGAAACTGAGAAAATGTGTCCTGTGATCCAAATTTAAGCCAAGAACAGGACAGACAATGTGAGCCAAATAGAAATGAGGTCAAGAGTGCTTTCTTGGGGCCCCAGCTTTTTTTTTTCAAATGCCCAAACCTGTTTAACTGCTTAGTGTGAACTATACTTCTGGGATACAGTTCACAACGGAAAGGGAAATTTAATTAGCACTGGCAGCCTCACCTTCAATCTTAGGTCAATATAGTCAATGGCACATTAACAGTGATTGCTACTGATTGATGAAAGAAAGAAAGAAAGAAAGAAAGAAAGAAAGAAAGAAAGAAAGAAAGAAAGAAAGAAAGAAAGAAAGAAAGAAAGAAAAAAGAGAGAGGGCCAGAAGAAGGAAGGGAGGAGGGAAGGAGGAAGAGAGAGGGAGCTGAAGCAGGTGACATTCTTTAATTAAGAGTTATACTGAGAGAGGTCGCCCTATATCAGCTCAGAAAGCAACAATCACTTCTCGTTGCCAACCCCAATAAATTCCCAGAATACATTGTGCATGGACTGCTTTGACTCACACTCTCTATATCACATCCACAGTAATTTAAGATCAAATTTCTACAATTAGGACATTGGTATACTGCTTTACAGTTTGCAAAGCAGATGCATAATTATTATTACATTGAGTTCTTCATGGCTGTGCTGTAAGGAAGATGTCACTGTCCCATTTTACAAGTGAGGGCACTCTGCTGAGACAAGTTTGCCACTTGAAGGAGGTCACAAAGTTACAAGTGTCTAAGCCAGAACCTACTGCCAAATCTCATGGCTTTTTCCATCCTCTGGGAAAATGGTAACAAGCAAACACAGAGAGGAAAAGTGAGGCACAGACTAGCACAGCAACTTGACTGAATGACACAGTTCAGACCATTAGCTCTTAGACCACCTCAGAGTTTTGACTTACTAAAACTGGCATGATTATCTAGCACAAGAAAGACCTCCAGAAAATGAAAGGGTGGGGCGTGACCTTCTAGTTTTCATGGAAAAGGACTCTGCATCAGGGAAGCGTTCCACCTCGTTGGACCTGGGAGGATTTAGCTGTACTTTCTGTCTCATAATGTGCTCACATGATTATCTCATATTAGCCCTTCTGCATGTCCTGTGAATAATGTCATCTCAACACTTCTGGAGAACAGGAGTGGGGCTCCAGGCCCTGACAAACAGTCCTGGGCAGAGTCTGAGTAACCCAGTGCCTCTGAATCACAAAAGGCAAGTCTCAATTTGGAACCAGAAACTCAATGATGCAAACATTTCTAAGCCCTGGAAGGGAGGGCACCTTGAACAGAGCCGGAATCTGATTCGAAGGTTGGCTGGTCTCTGCTGCCCGCTTTTCCAACCCGTTGTGGCATGTCCTCCTGGGCCCACCATCTGCTTCAGAAGCTGCCTGAGTGACTGACAGGTCTGCAGGACTGCAAGGTGGAGCTGAGATGTGACACAGAGTGCCCCCTGAGCAGGGTGACAATCTCAGACATAGGAGAGCACATCCTGCCCACAGGTTAGTTCTCCAGCCTGACAAAATCCCCCAGCGAAGCCCAGATCCCAATGACTGGACATGCCAAGTGGAGGGTGTATGTTTTTCCCTTTCTAAGTTCTTCTGTTGCATTTTATTGTTTTTCCTACCTGGATGTTAGGCTGTCTCTACAACGCAAGACATCCTTCCTTTCCTTTCTAAAATTTCCAGGAAGCACAGTTGCCTCCCACGTGTTAGATTTAATGTAATTCAAACCAAAATTTGAGACTATTTCTCCCAATTCAGGAAAAATTGTGTGTTTGGCAACCCAAATGGAAAGAGACAAAAAAAAAAAAAGGTAGTGGATTTTTGGGGTGTTTTTCTCATTTTGGTTGTGTATGTTTCATAAAGTGCATAGGAGAATTTAGCTCAAAAAGCAACTGCTTGGAGAGATAGAAACTCTTGTAATTCATGTTGTGCATAATGGATTTGGCAGGCCCAAGCACAGAAATTTCCAGAAGTGTTTGCGTGGCAGCAGTTCTTAGCCAATTCACATTTTTCAGCTGTCCTGGCTCACTGCCCAGCCTACAGAAAACGTCTTGTATCTCCACAAGTTTGGCTGGCCTCTCTGACGAGTTTCCAAACTGCATGGCGACATTGGATGAGCTTATTTTTAAGTGCCAAAAAAACTCCTGCTACTTATATTGTTACTAAATACCAGATGTGCTTAATAAAGAGTGAGCAGAGCCAAACCAAGGGTAATCAAATAACCTATCATTAACATTTTCTAAAAACAAAAAAATGCAATTGGAACACCAGATTACTGTTTTTCTTTGTTTGCTTCACGCCCTATTACTGGAACCCCTAGGGTGATGGGAACAGGACTGGGGCGGAGAGGCCAGCTCTGGCAACGATGAAGATGCTGTTTACAGTCACACCCCTGCACATCTGAACCATGTGTGAAAAAGTCAAGGCCCCAGCAGATGTCCTCCAGCCCCGCCACTCACAACCCCCTCCCCAGGGAGGGGCTCTGTAGGCTGAGGCTCTCACCACACTGGAAAGTCCTGAAAAGCTGAGGTGCGCTGGGATTTGACCTAGAAGGGGGGAAATGTAGAAGGGATGGGAGGGTGAGGTGGGACTTGGCAAATTAGAGAATATGCAAGAGTTGGAACCTACTGCTGCTGCTGCTGAAAAAAATGCAGAGACATTCTGAAAGGCTTAAAGAGACATGAGGATGCTGTGTGGCTTTGTCAGAGGCCCTGGCTGGGCTTCAGTTGGTAGACTTTAAAGTATTTCTTAATACAAAATCTCCAATTCCATTTCCTCCCTACTCATTGCTATAATTTCTCCCTCCCTCCCTCTCTTCCTTCCTTTTCTTTCTTTCTCTCGTGTAGTTTTCTAGAATCCAGTGGGAAGAGAAAGATGGCTGGCCAAGTCTCTCCTCTTGTTCTAGTCAAGGTCGCTCTTGCTATATACCATCTCCTCCCTACCCCCATACCCTACAGACTCAATTCTCCAGGTCTCTATGCCTTCTACTTTTCTAATCTTTTCCTGACACTCAGAGTTCTGAAGATTAAAAGAACCTTTTTCTCACCCCGAGGTTGGTGATCCCTGGGAGATGGCAAGCATTGGTGTTAGGGGTGATTAGAGAGATGGATTGAATATTGCAAAGTGAAATTTTAGAAGATGGAATCAGGACATAAAAAAATTGAGAGCTAATAACTATTCTGAAAATATTTGTTATCTGCGTTGAGACAACTGTATAAATAAAGGAATATATGACTCAACCCTTGGAGAGTTGTTTTGAGAAAACTGTTACTAAAAATGCATTATAATCCAACCATGCCTTGAACACCATGTGCCGAGCCAAACTCAGCGAGAAGATGGCAGGGTTTCGCCATTGCGTGGAATCATTAGGTAGATAAACCATGAGTTTGGTCTAATGAGCAGTGAAATGCTTTGACAATATTTGATTTAAGTGGCTGCGAACAGTAAAATAACGTGCAGCTGATGTCTACAATATTTAGAAGTTTCCTCCTAACTGCAGTCACATGCGTCTTACACATCAGATGTGTTCATGACAAGTTGGTGTGGATCCGTACACCAAGTGGAAAACATACACTGTAAACATTTTAGACATACTCCTGACTTGGAGAAACCATGTATCTGTGAAGAAGCCACTTAGAAAGTCCTGTGCCTGGCCTGTCTCTGCCCAGTTTGGACGTCCCTCTGCCCTGGACTGGCAGAGCCTCTGAGAACATGCTTGGCCTAAGCAGCATTTCACTTTCATTGCTGGGTCATGGGGAGGAAAGGGCCGGCCCTAGGGAAGGGTCAAGGGCAGGCTGTTTTGTTCTCCAGCAGCAAAACAGAGTGGCTACAGGAAACCACCCAAACGACAAGCTCTGCTGAGGGCAAGTGAAGGCTGAGTCTAAAAACAAAAGTGGAGGAGCCGTCTCCTTGGAGCTGTTTATATTACATAACTCAAATAAACACAGCAGTGCAAGGACGGTCCCTTGGCAAAGGCCAGGACCGCAGAGCCAGAGGCAGACAGAGGGCATCTCCTCCAGCCTCTGGTCAGAAATGTCTCCTTTAAAGATAATAATAATAGTAATAATAATAATAATAATAATAATAAAATAGTGATACAAGGGACATACTAGCACAATTTAGCAGGATATCCTGAATAAATTAGAGGAGTCATTCTACTTAAGTCTTGTAAGTTGCCTCTCTTTTCTCCAGCCAAGGAAAGAAATTCTCCTCAGAGCCACAAGAAGAAGCAAAGCTGACTCCTGAATGACTATTTTCATTTGCAAAGGAGGGAAGGGAGACACTTCCGGTGGACCTCAGCCCCTGGGAGAACCGGCGCGAGCACAGAGGCCGCTTTCTCGGGCAGGGGACGGGCGGCTGACTTTCTCAACTTCAGCCCCTTCCCAGTCGGGCGATGAAGGAGCAGCAGCCATCGGGCAGTTGACATGGAGTCTGTGTGAAGAATAAAAAAATAAAAGTTACCAACTCGGTAAATGAGTGCAGGCCCAGAGGCCCAATGTCTGAACAAAATCAGCGTCTTGAAATTGAGAGCAGGCAAGAGCCTTCTGAAACCTCCTTTTTCATCAGTAGCCTGCAGTCTCTTGGGACAGCAACCCTTATCGTCTGCCAGGGGACAAGAATAGAAATAAAAATTGAGAACACAGCTTAGCACGGGCTGATGGCATCGGTTGCCAACAGTTGCCCATTAGTAGGCTATGGGGACATGCAAGGGAACATTCTCTCTATGAGGCTTGTGTTTAAAAATATATCTTGCTTCAAAGCTGGCCCCGGCAGTGGCTGGGAAGTCAGAGCTTCTTTGCCTGTGCAGAGCAGGTGCTGGTCCCCCCGTGATTTACTGCAGATCACTCGCCCTCTGAGCCTGCACCTCACGTGACACAGCTTCTAGCAAGTTAAAGTTTTAGAGAATTCCTGGGAAAGCCACACTCCAGAGTAGTCCTCCCCAGTGTGCTCGCTGGATGCATTTGAGGCTGGGGGACCGATGACAGTGTCTCAGGGTCACGCTGCACTGCTCAGGGCTCTGACCCCTCTCTCTCCATCAATGTGCCTGCCTCTGGAGACAGCCCTCTCTCCCTTTCCTTATTTTCGAAGATGAACTATGGCTCCCACCTCATCCCTGAGCATACTGAGGAGGAATAGCTGGGGAAGTGACTTGAAAACTCTCAGCAAACATAAAGGCCAGGATCTAGTGCTGACCGACTGGCACCCTCACCTACCTACCTAATGCGTTAGTTATCTGAGTCCCCTTTGAAATGTTTCGTTGACAGACTGCCCTGTGGGCTGTGAAGCTGGTCTGTACAGGAGACGGCTCAGTTCCTGTGGGGAAGTTTGCCTTTGCAGGAACCACTGAAATCCGACATGTCCAAACATATGTTCCAGGTAGAAAACAACAGGTGATGAGCCATAAAGGTTGAAAGTCTGCCAGGATCCACCCGTGGGCACCCAGGGCCTGGCACCCCTTTTCCAAGGGGAGATGAATGTGAACAGACCAACATGGTAAGGTCAAGTTCGAGTCTGCCTCAGTGAAACCCTGGGGACCTCCTTCTCAAAAAACAACGGGGACAGTGTGACAGCTGCTTAAGGAAGCCACAAAAAGGAGTCCCTGAGGGAAACCTCCCCAAGGAATGCTCTGCTTATAAGAAGCTGTTATGAGTGACATAGAAGACAGCCAGAAGGGGCAACCAGGCTCAGGTGAAATCTCTAATTAGCCAGTTATCACAAGCACCGTACAGCTGTAAAACCTAGTAGTAGTGATGATGGTGGCAATGATAACAGTGATTGTTGATGGTGGCAGAGCCTATGAAGCAACAGGCTACCAGAAGCGGTGGCCCGTGGAGGAGCCCCTCCAGTGAACCATTTGCCACACCGGAGTCCCCATGGCTCCTTCACTTATTTAGTTTGGGGTCTTTTAAACAAAATGCAAATCAGGTTGTATGGTTGCCAGATATTTGCAGCTACTTTCAAATCTGGTTTGTTATGTGAGTTGTTCTTCGTGGCAAATGGGTGGTGGGACAAGAAGACGAGAAAGATGGAAGGAAATCTCCTGCTGGAGACACTGTGCAGTGGAGGTGAAAAGTGAAAGGAACCACATAACATTCCCTGTGTGTGTGGGCACTGAAGCAGGCCAGTGAATTCCTTCTATGGAAGCCCCTGGAATTGGACCCCAAAGGCCTGGGTTTGACTCCTGTCTCAACTACTTCCTGGCAGTTCGGCCTGGGGCACGTTAGTTATCCTCTCTGAGACTCAGTGGCCTCGCCCATCAACTGGAGTTAATGACCTACCTGTCAAGGTGGTTAGGGGAAGCCAAGTGAAGCAGGTGACCCCAGGTAGTACAATAAATGTTAGCTAAAACAGCAAAATCTGAAAATGTATATGGCGTGACCTTGTGCCTCCAAGGGCGTGGAACCTCACAGTCACTTGACAGGGGTGTTCTGGAGACCTCCTGTCTCACTCACCCCCCTTGGAAAAAGGGGCACAGAGCCCGGAAGTCAGTCTGCTCACATCCCCCAAGAGCTGGTGACAGAGCCCAACAGCACCTACACGTCCCCTGTAACCCAGAGCACGGGCTACCAGGCTGTGTGCCTCTCAAATAGCTTACCAGTCAATAGATTGGCCTCCACTTCTCCTGGGCCTACATCAATCCCAGGCTACCCAGGGCACTCCCTCTCTCAGGCCCCCAAGATCCCACTCTGGGAATTGAAGGCCCAGCAAGAGCACAAACAGGGAGTAACATGGGCACCAGGGAGAAGGAGGCTTGTTATATTCTTTCTAGATGAATCTTTAGGCTGCAGCAGCCGCAGGCGAGTCCCAGGCCTGCAGCAATCCTGTCTGCGGTGGGGCTGTCTCAACACGCTCCTGGGAAAGTCAAGGCTTTCATTGTCAACTTTGTTCTCCCCTCCCTCTCTTCAGGGATTCACAGATGTGGCTCTCTGCAGCCCTTCTGCCCCATGACTCTTTAGGGCTGCAATCTGATGTCACGTGACATCTCCGTCAGAACAAGCCCACGTTGCTGCCACCCTATTGGAAGAGGTAGTGCTGGGGCAGCCCTAGCCCCTGAGTTGGCCCCGTGTAGGTTTCTTGGTGGCACTACTTTTGGAAGATTTTTTTATCCTTGCTCTTTATCTCAAGCCCGTCGGGCAAATGACAGAGGAATTGCAAGCTTGAATGGGCTTGTCTGACAGGCCAACTTTCATTCTGGGTGCTGCTGCCTGACTTTTAAAAAGGAACTCTGAGCAGAGGATAGTAATTTCACACTGATTCCTTACCGTCATTTGCTTTGGGTTTTAAAATGTCTTGTTCCAATCACCCTCACTGCATGGCGTAAAGGAGAAGATGGGCCATGCATGTGGGTAACATATTTGTTATAGACACACACAAAGTCCCCGCTTTGCTCTGAAGGAACAGTGCTAGAAACTGACCAGCAGACCAAGGGACTGCACCAGATACAAGCAAGTAACCCCACAATACAGCAGAGCCAGAGGGCCGCTGTACAAAGTCTCACATCAGATGTCTCTAACGTTCAAGCATTTATGAGAATATCTTTATCCCCCAGGATGCCTGAAGCAGTTAGGGAGGTTTTAGGCAAACCCCAAATGTATGAGGGCCTGAACCCTGCCTAACCACACTGAGAATCAGACGAGGTCCAGCTGAGGATGCAAAATTCCACTTGGATAAGGCTAGGTGAATAGGACCAGGCCAACAGGAAAAAGAGCCTCCAGGCTGGTGCGTCTGGTGAGACTGTGCTTGGAAGCCCTGTAAGGAAGGACAGGCACTCAGGGATGGCCAGTGGATGTGGTCGCACCCAGCTCAGCAGCAGGAGGCAATGACCCTTCCTGATCTCTAAGTCTGCTGTGGAAGCTCCCTGTCCCATCCACACTCACCAGGGAGGCCACACTGCTTGGCATTTTGGTCATTCTTCCTGACGATGGCCTCTAATGTTTCACGTGCAGACTTTCTGACTTACAATGATCATTCCACTTACAATTTTTCGACTTGACTTCACGATGGTGTGAAAGCGATATGCATTCGGGGTAAACCATTCTTCGAAGTTTGAATTCTGATCTTTTCCTGGGCTAGACATGTGCTTTCAATACTCTCTCGTCAAGCTGGGCAGTGAGGTTAACAACTGACACCCTGCAGTGTATTTGTGTCTTAGATGATTTTGCCGAACAGTGGGCTGGTGTAAGTTCTGAGCACATGTAGGGCGGGCTAGGCTAAGCTGTGATATTTGGT